CTCTCTCTCTCTCTCTCTCTCTCTCTCTCTCTCTCTCTCTCTCTCTCTCTCTCTCTCTCTCTCTCTCTCTCTCTCTCTCTCTCCCTTTCACTCTCTCTGCTTCCACCACACTTTCTCTCGTCTAACCTAATCTATCCAAACCCAGGATTCTCCACTACTGGGTCGCGAGCTGGATGCATAGCGAAGGTTGCAAGGGACGCGGAATGTAAAGTAGATAGATTTGGAATCGCAGTCGCGTCCTTTTAAAATTAAGAAAATTAAATAGATACCGTAAATGATCAAGCAGAGGGAGAGAAAATCCTGAAGTTAATGACCTATGCATGAATTTTAGTCTTCGTCACAATTTTATGTTTATTAAACATATAGTCTGTGTATTATATTATCGTTTTTTTAATTCCTTTATCTAACTACACAAATGTTTCACATTTTGTACATTTTATAAAACTGATATATACTTTTCCCATTACAGTGTAATAAAGTACACAAGGCAGTTCAGTAATCTAAATGCTAGCCTTACTATTACCTGTATTGGTGTCCCTATAAACACCATCCTCTGTGCCCGTGCCCAGACGTGCCCAGACGTGCCCAGACGTGCTAGGGTTATAGTTGTTGTAGCGTTCCAGGCAGGGAGCTAGAGTAAGGAATTTGTCGTGTGGTTTCATTGTTTCAGCCTCACACGCACAGGCGCCTTTCAAAGTCTCGTTGCAATGAAAAAGGATGAAATATATGTTAATCATTATTGTTATTATTATCGTTATCACAATACCACCAATATTATCAGCATTAGTCGCTGCGATTACTTTTTAATTTCCTTTTCTTTCAAACTTTGTATTTCATTTGTATTTCTATCCCTCTATTTTTTCTCTTGCTGGTGTGCAATTATCATGCTGTTGTTTTTTCATTACATTCATTCGCATCGTTACTGCTATCATTATCTTTCATTTCATTATCAGTAGCGTCATCAAGTACTATTACCATTGTTAATATCGTCATTATACCCATCATTCCTGTTATCATCATGACTATTAAAATAATTTTCATTATAACCATCCTTACTACCATCGATGAAATTCAAAGCCAAACACCAACATGTCTCCTGTTATTTGCTTTATCCTCGGCATTATCATAATTTTCTCCAACTCTTTGTCATTATCGTCATTTCTAGCGTTATTTTCCGTTCCTGTCTTATTCATCTGAGATTTTTTTTCTCTCTCATTCGCGTTCTTTTTTTTTCCTTTTTTTATATCTGTTTTTCTTTCAATGATTATTCATCAGTTTCCATACCTTCTATCTTTCTGTCTGTCTATATGTCTATGTATCTATATTTATTTTTCTTTCTCTATACCTCTATCTACTTATCCATCTCAATTTGTCTATCCGTCTATCTGTCTATTCATCTATCTGATTATCCATTACTGTTTCTGTCTATCTATCCATCCACTTTTCTCTATATATTTATCTATCCCCATTTCTCTCCCTATCTCTCTGAATCTATTTATCTCCATCGCTATTTATGTCTGTCTATGTCTGTCTGAGGAATCGGGTGGGGATTTCAGCGCATTTTAGGGAGAGGCTTAATGCCCGATCTCTCACTCGATGCACTTCGATGGCTTTGGCATTATGCAATATGTCATACCGAGTGTAAACAAAAGCCGGAAGGGGACTTGAAAGTGTGAGCCATGGAAATCGGTAGTTGACGACTGGCGTCTCTTCCGTAGACTTAAAAAAGAAGGAAAAATATAGAACGAAAGAGAGAGAGAGACAGGCAGAGAGAGAGAGAGAGAGAGAGAGAGAGAGAGAGAGAGAGAGAGAGAGAGAGAGAGAGAGAGAGAGAGAGAGAGAGAGAGAGAGAGAGAGGGGGGTGGGGCAGAGAGAGAGAGAGAGAGAGAGAGATTGAGGGAAAGAGAGAGAGATGGATAGAAGTAATGAAGTGAAGATGAACAGTATTCATGACAAGTGGAGAACAGAGTGTTATCGAGAATGAATATTTTCCCAATACAAGAGATGTGTTTAACTGGCTTCGAATATTTCATGTATTTCTGACGAAGATATATTCTCCTTCTCCTTCTCCTTCTCATTCATACCTGTTCTAAAGATAAAGAAGACGATAATGATGACGACTACAACACTAAGCTATGAATATGGAGATATAAAATTAATGATAGTAATAAAGGATAATAATGATGGTAATTACAGTAAGGATAATAATAACAATAAAGACAATAATAGTAATAATGATAATAATGACAATAATAGCATTGATAAAACAATACCCATATGCAGGAAACAGAAAATTAATCAGAAATGTAGAGAAAGAACAGTGACGATAATAAAAAGGTGAATAATAAGGATAAAGACAGTGATGACATGCATGGTAACAAAGATCATGCCTGAACCATAAACTCCTCTCTCTCTAGTGATGATAACTGGCTGGGTGGCGCAGTGGAAGCGCGCCGGGCTCTTAACCCGGAGGACCGTGGATCGAAACTACGCTCTGCTA